ATCTACACATACACACACACACACACACACACACACACACACACACACACACACACACACACACATATATATATATATATAGATATATATATAGATATATTTATATATATATAGTTCTTAGCATGCTAGATACTATGTGGGCAAGGAAGGTTTTACCATTAAGTAGTTCTTTATCATCCAAACTGTGTGTTTGCCTTATCCGAATTGTAGAACATACACTCTCAGAAACTAATATGTACATACCATGTCACTTTAGGATTTTGGAAGTACATTGCCAGTTCTCGTTCAGTCCCAAAACTAGCCTGTATTTCAGTAACACGTGCCAGAGTATTGCTGACCTTGTTAGTCGCATCCCTGTTGAGGGTGGATTGCTGTTCACTCATCTTGTTTAATTTACATCTAAATAACTCTCCTTTTAGATGTTCGGACCTGGTTCATAACCCCTCAAGTTAGCATACGCAGCTCATCGAGCGAATGGCCGGGACTTCATATATAATATTATCTAAATAGAACAACGGGATAATGTTCGTACTTCATAATGACGGATGAGCATCAGAACTTTTATTTGAATATGTACATACTACATAGCCCCCGCTTGTTTCGAATAGGGTTTATGTTTAGGGTTTACAGATTTTGAACTCTGATTGTGGCTTCGTATTCTGCATCTATGATACACGCAGGAGTGTGATGTATTATATTGAAGCGTGTTGAATAGGTCATGTACCAGACTCTTACCACACATAATGCTCTATCCGATCATGAATACAGACTGTCATTTGTCCCCAAATAAAGAGACGTTCTGATCTGTCGTGTCAGTTTGATGGTGTAATCGTATGTTTAATGTATGTCCCTGCTTTGTACTAAAAACTAACCTATGACAAAATTTAATTAGCTTCATTAAAATGAAGTAGAGGTGAGCAGGCATGTCCGTGGTGTACTTGGTTATAAAAGACGGCGATCTTCTCTCGTGCGTATAAGGATCACACATTCTCCTTGTTTATTTCGCGACGGCTGTCTAATTTGGTAGTACCTTTAAAAAAAAACGTGATACCAAGAAATGGGTTCACTTTGTGCGATACTCCCCAACCAATGGATCGTATCACGGTATAATTTTATTCAGATTCTCCTGCGATGGGGTGTGGATTTACCCTTGTATACCTATGTGTGCAATGATCCGTGATTTTATCTGGCCCAATTTGACGCTCAGAATTTTGCCTTCTGGTTACTTTTCGATCTTCAAGCAGCCTATCAAGTATCAAATAGTTCTTGTTTGGCATCATACCACGCCATTATATTGGGTGCCAGGAATTACCTGCTCTCGTCTATAGCGCTATTTAATTGAAATCAGTTGCGCATCACGTGATTGGCATACAATGCCAAAACTTGGCAAACACAACTTACATCGTGAAATCGTTCTTAGCCTCACCCATTTCAAATTATCCACTCTACTCTATGATCCACCCTGCTACAAAGGAACCTGTCACTCTAAAGCCAAACGAGGACGTAAATTCTCTTGTCTAACGTGCTCAGCGGCATAGTACTACCGAAGCTATGAGACTCACCACGCTGAGCCATCCTATGTAACTTGCATAATCAAACGCATAATCTACGCCGTCACTGAAAATGATTATCATCATGTATATAATACCTACACTCATCCAAATCAACGCCGCGATGAACCAGAGCATCGGATTATAGATTACCTTCCGATATCGTCCATAATAACCCATTATCGCGTAGATAAACGCACAAAACTGCGGAACTATACCAATTGCGAATGAAGTCCCGGCTATGACTGTGGAACTATCACCGTATGTCAGTACGATACAACCCCAGAGGATATATGACATACTCGGAAGAACCCCCATAGTAAGTCCCCACTCAGAAACACAAAGTCTGCCGAGTACAGCGCTACGCAGCTTTGAATGATGGAAGCCAAAGGTATTGCTATACCGGTCACAAAACAATTTTCGTGTTTACCCAGCGCAGTGTCATCAGTTCCCTCAGGCACAATAACTACCGTTTCTACGTCTTGCTTTTCAGCTTCGACAAAATTAACATCATTGCTTGCTGGTTGTTCGGGTGTCGCATAGGCCGGCGGAGGTGGTAAGATCGGCGATCCGCTGTACGGTGCATACTCTTGGTACACAGGTAGTGGTACTATATGTCCACCCGCTTGTGTGGCATCCTTGTGACAATCACTTTCATACGTATTCGAATCCGTTGATATCAACGTACTGCAAGTTCAAAAGGCTAGAAATGCGTGTTGGTGATGCAAAACTAACTCGCGGTTTCACGCCGACAGCGAGAATCTTTATCACATGAATATTGTCCATAGCCTTCTTCTATTTTTTATAAAAAATCAAACAATTTACAGTATTGGCGTTTGGCACTTTATACCCCAATCGAATGACCTCTTGTCGAGGCGTTGACAAATGACAGGCGTAAAAAGTCGTCCCGTTACAGTATCATGGCATTGATGGAATGATGGCAAAGTATCTGAATTGCCTACCAATAGAAAACGAATGTCGATTTTTATATCACAACCGTCAAATCCTACAAGCCAATTAAATTCTTGCAAGTTGCAAGTACCATTATTGTTTATGTTTTTGTCCATAGCCTTCTGTATTGAACATTTTGCCAAAGTTGACTGCGATAATATGCAGTGGAGGGCATTTGGGCGAGCAGTGAGGTCAGCCTATGTACCAGGTGCCTGACTGCCTGTGAGGTTCATCACAATTTAGTGAACTAGCCTCTTTAGAGGAAATTCGGAACAAGTTTGAGATTTTAATTCGACACAAGGGGGTCTTTTGGATGTGTCTGAGATAATGTAACTCGTGTACGACGACAGATTTATATGGGTCGTGGATCTGCGATACATCTTCTCCTTTCAGATCCAATCCAATCTTATTTAATTCGATATACAGATATATGGCTTGCCGGTCGCGGGGACAACGAATGAGAATTTATAATTTAGCGTTTAAATCTACAATTCCACGGTCAGTTCTCTAATACCGTCCTTGTCTACCACTCGGAAGGTGAAGTCCTTCAAGCTAATGATAAAACGCGTCTTAAGCTCCAGCATGCAGGCCTTTACAATCTCGATCACTTCGTCCAGCGTCATATCTGTCACATTTAAAAACAAACACAAATATCGTTCAGAACACGCGGGGGTATAGATATCACACAGGGAATTTCAAATAAGAATACAGCAACAAATATCGCAAAGGTACTGAATACATGACCGCGCTACTCCTCCAACACGTGTCGTAGTCTTCTTTGATTGCGAGCGGTTCGCAGTACCTGTACCACATCGGGTCACATCTTTTCCTTACTGGTCACACACAAACAGATACACACCAAATTCGCAAGTACAACTTAGCAAGCAAGTTCGTGCGAACTTACTAAGCACACGCACAAATACGCACCACTAAGTCCGCATGTACCGAAATTCGGTTAATGATCAATATGCGATATTCATACAACAATCTAGATACGCACGAGCGACAGTTCCACTCGATTCTGCCAAAATGTATTGTGACGAACAATTAAGCGTGGCATATCCACTCAGATCTCAATAGATAGTGAATACTAATTATTCGTTTCCAACGTACTCGGCTTGTATCGCTTGTCCAGTAAACCGAGTGTGAAGGCAGCTCCGTAACCGTGTGCTCCGTACTGGAGTTTGTGCATGGATGCAAGATAGTCCATCCAGTGTAGTGACGCCTGTCCCGTTTCCTCGTCAAACCCACCGATCAGAGAGAAGCATTGATATGCATTTCGACTGTTCGTATTTGAAATTAAGTAGTGAGAAATTCAGAATTGGGATAGCATCCGGAATCAGATATGAAAATCTCGAACTGGCTAGTTGTGCCGTAAGAAGGGTGTATTACGGCTGGCACACACAGCATGCAGATGAGAAATTCCATACGATCACTAACTATACAACGGCTGAGCACGAGCACACTTCAAAATACATGACACGTGCTGTGGCGTGCTACACAGCCCGCATGTCTACATTGTCTGAACCAAGTTAGTACCCAAAGACCATACAAAATATCAGCCCTGCCAAAACTCGTATTCCTTGTCTCTGCGCGTGTGAGCTCAATAGATGTACCGTGTTGTATAGACCGAGCACACATGTGCACCTACCTTCTAAGAGCCTTCGCCAGCTCGTTTCTTGTGAAGTTGGCACAGGCGTGCGATGTCATTGGCACACCCTGGCGCAACTCAAATAGCTGTACATTCGCTCTGATGTACTCGCCAAACACCGTGCAGTCGCCAATGGGTCCGGCAAGTGACATGAGTGTATTTTTATTAAGCGTGACCATCTTGTCGAAATCTGAGTGCGAAGTAGTTGGGAGAATCAAATGTGAGACTCTGCCATAGTGACGGGAAGCTACATACAAAAATTGGTGTCCGAACTCAGATATTTGTGAAGGATAATACGTGATATTCATAATCAGACGCTGTGCATACTTCTGATTCCAGAACCAAGTTTTCGAGTGAGAGAAATCAACACATAATCGTCTGCATACAAGTAACATGTGCATACATATACGCCGGTGTCATCTCGTGTAGATACCAAACACATACAAATATGGATAATAAACTATAATGACAAGTCTTTTCATTCGTGGCTAATCGTGAATATATACCATAGACCGACATATATAAATATGTATATATATATATATATAAAGTATTTCACAAGTCGTTTGCAGTATTCAAAACAATCACGTGTTTATGTTGATCAAAAATCGAATTAGTATAAAATAAAATGGTCATCCTGGATTGGTAAACATAATTGCCGATAATACATATACACAAGTCCGACTACTATACGCGAATATAGCTTTCTATGTTTTCGCAAAATCTTTTCCTGATTGATCAGGAGATATCACCGTAACATCTACCTGCAACAATTGCTATCGGTTCACAAACTATTTGCATATATACAAAATTAAAAACATTGTCACAGATATGACAAAGAAAAAATAGGATGTAAAATTATTAAATATTATCTGCGCACTACTCAACGCACATGCGTATACAGTCATTTATTTATTCATCTGCATATTCATGTATTATAAATATATATATAGATATATGCACACAAACACACTCGTAAATAAATCTATTTAACAATATCTGCATATGTAATAATACATTTGCTTGCATGAATACAGTTCTATATATAAATATATAATAAACGCACGAACGCAGGCGCACACACACGCACGAATGTACGCAAGCAGGAACAATCAGCAATATACATACATAGATATGATATATATATATATATATAAATATATATATATATATATATATATAAATATATATATATATATATATATATATAATATATATATAATATATATATATATATATAGTAATAATAAATTACTATATATATATATTATTAATATACTAAGTAACTACGTAGAACAAATAAAAACAATANACNCAGACA